GTATATGTAATTATAAATTAGGTTGTTTTATATTTTTGCTAAGTACTGTTTAGAATACCAGAATTGGGAAGATGGTGTAGGTTTAAGTTTATTATAATGGCTTTTTGGCTTTTCCTACAATACCATGGTGGGCCGATCACTAGTCAAAATGCCTGGGCTGATTTTTTTGTCCCAGTCCAGCCCTGAGTAGTAGTACTCGTAAGTAGTAGCAGTAGTTTACTGGTGGAACTGGTGTGCGTTTCTTGGAGACGCCTACTTTATTACGTCATCACGCATGCGTCGTGACGCTGGCTCGTCGCAGCAGGCGGATCCTGCTGTCAGTTTCCTGTTGTACAGGTAAGAGGGACAGCTGCTATATACATGTACTATAATATAATAGTGAACACATGAGAGATTTTAACCGTGTCACTTTGGGGTGAACAGGGTCGTCAAACGTTGCAGTAACATTTTGTTCACTCGTGGTTATTTTTTTCCTCTTTCTTCTCGCTCCGCAGCTTTAAACGCCGCAAACTGGCACAAGTTAGCTCAAATGAATTAGTGTTGCTAACAGCAGGTAATTAAAGCAGAACTTTAGTGTTGTGAACTGTGTTCGTCGAGTTTCATAACGCTGTCAATGTCTTACTTGTGTAAAATATACGTGTTGTGTAATGCTACGCTACTTACGCCCGCTGCTTCCTGAAATATGAAGTTGTCTTTATTTGCTGACTTTATGCAATAAATTATTCGCTAAGATGTTATGCAACTGAGTGGGGATTTCTCTGTATTCTTTAAGATCATTGTTAATTGTGCGTGAACGCAATACATCCTCGTGTTATATATGCTCAGAGGCGAGAATTGTTCTTTCTTTAAATCTTAAAATACAGTTTACAAACATAACTTGGATCCTGTAAAATACATAAATAACTTTTTTTTTAAAATATCAGAGCTAATTTCATGTTATGATAAAATTACCTCTGCTATAAGGGAGCCACAGACGACACATGTGTAATGTTTAACTCTGTTCACCTTATTGGCAGTTCGACCTAAAGGCCACCATGGTGCTGAACCCAGTCATTTCCAAGCTTGCTGGTAAACTGGTTGTGCTGGCCAGCGCTTCTCCTAGAAGACTTGAGATTCTCCGCAGTGCAGTATGCGTTTTCTTGATTATTCCCTTGTTATTCCTTATTATTCCGTATATTCACAGAATGTAGTTTGAGTTTGCACAATAGGACTGAGTGTAAATGTGTAAAACCCTAGTAGGTAAAAATCATCTCATCATCATCCCTAGCATGTAGTCTGGTTCATTATAATGGGTGAAATAGAAGGAAAAAGGGAGAAGACATTTGATTTTTAAGTTCTTTAAAACATGGCAGTTTTATGGTGTTGGTTAAAAATTAGCAGTTGTATTAAATTATAAAAAGCAGACAAATCCACATTAAGAGAGCAGATTTACAGAGCAAACTTTAGAAAAAATAACAGATTTCAAATCAATCATTGGGTACAAATTGAAGGTCTTCATTTATTTGACACAGCTAGAAAAGCCGTGTCAAATAAAAACGTGTATAGCTAGTTCACCGAAGGAACTACTTTACACTTAATTTAAAGGATTATTGATTTAAAAAACCCATAGTGACTGGATTTTTCATAGGTTGGTAAATCTGATAAGAGTAGCGTAAGTCCTATTAAATATAACAAGTGTTTTGTTTGCTTTGTCCTCTTTTATCTGTCAGGGTTTACGTTTCGAGGTTGTGCCGTCCTGGTTTAAGGAAACCCTCGATAAAGGGCTTTTCAAAGCACCTCATGAGTATGCTGTTGAGACAGCCAAGCAGAAGGCCCTGGAGGTAGCCAGGAGGATGCCCTTTGTAAGATAAGCTACTTTTTTATGACAAATAATAGAATTTATCCAGTCAGATGTCATCACTGAGAACACTTTGTCTTGATTTGCTTTAGAAACATCTGAAGACTCCAGATATAGTTATTGGGGCTGACACAATTGTGGTAAGACAGAAAAAAGCACAAAAGCAAATGCATTTTCTTAATGGCTACTGTAAAAAGCTTTATGTAAGTTTTTCTTTATTCACTCTAGCCAACTGTTTATTTCACAGAGTGTAGATGGCATGATTCTGGAGAAACCAGTGGACAAACACGATGCTTATAGGATGCTGTCAAGGTCTGTGTCAATGGGAAACATTCATAGTTAACATTAAAAAACCATAAAATGGAAAAAGATATCATGGTGATTTTGTCTTTCTCTTCCAGTTTGAGTGGTAAAGAGCACAGTGTGTTCACTGGTGTAGCTATTGTCCTCTGCCATGAAAAAGAAAGTAAGTACAGACTCAGAAACTGTCACACTTGTACTTTATTTTTCTGTAAAATGAAAGAAATTCAGAAAGAAGCAGTTCCCTATTACAGATCACTTGCACAGATGTTTTTAAGCAAAAATAGTAAGAGAAACATTTCTGCCATAAATATGTAGAAGAAATTTATTGGGCAATTCTGTCTCGCGACTCTTTTTTCATTTCTTCAATGCTGCCTTCAAGATGAAGAAGTTGATTACCAGCTGGTAGATTTCTATGAAGAAACTAAAGTGAAGTTTGCTGATCTCTCAGAAGATATGCTATGGGAGTACATCAATAGTGGTGAGCCCATGTAAGTGTGATCTTTTTAACTTTTCACATTTGTAACAGTTATTGTTGACTCTTTCTAAGTATTCGATCAATGGAGGTCATTTAACTGCTTGTGAGTTTCATGAACTTGTTGCTTTTTGGACTTTGATGCCTGATTTTGTTCCAGTTGTGTTTGCCTTGACCTATTTGACACGAGTCAGCAAACTATGACAATTCTGCTCAGTTCAGAAATAGTGTGAAACTGTTGCAGAATGCATCCAGTGAACAGCTGATCATTTACAGTATGTGTTTTTTGATCTTTGCCCACATGTGTTTGTACAAGTGAAACCTTTCTGTGTGTCTTAGGGACAAGGCTGGTGGCTATGGTATTCAGGCTCTGGGTGGCATGCTGGTCGAGTATGTCCATGGAGACTTTCTCAATGTTGTGGGGTTTCCCCTCAACCACTTCTGCAAACAGCTAGACCTTATTTACAATTTTTGTACTTCCTCTTTGAAAAGCACATCTACCCTTCCAAGCCGCAGCGACAATCTCCCCACTTCAGTACCCACCCAGCTCCCCTCCAGCTCACAGGGTCTGCCCAGCCACAACTCATCCGTTCCCAGATCAAGCAGCCCCTGTGACATTCAAAGACTCCACACCCAGATCACCCCCACAGCCAGTCCTGCCCATAAGGTTTGTTTTTATAATTCTATAACGAAAATCTGTCGCCTTTTGACACTATTTATAGAAAATCTTCCCATAGGTAAAAAGAGAAGAAAGTGAAAGTTCACAGACATTGGTCAATAGCACGTCTAAACATACAGACAACAGGAAGGTCAAGCTTCATGACAATGCAACATTACCATCGATAACAAGGAGAGGGCAGGTGACTGAACCTACAAGAGGAGACTTGGAGCGAATCTGTGAACTGATGGATGGATTCAAAGCCTCAAAGGTAATAAGTGCCTTTGTATAAAAAAAAGTCCTTTCTGTAAAAGACCTGTTACAGAAAAAATGTCAACTTTATGTGTTTGTTCTTTGTGTAGTTGGCTTCCACAAGATGTAATGAGTAATGTAGCTCAGCTTAAAGTTGTCTTGAGTTAACTGCATCTAAAGCTCACTATTTTTGCACAATAAAACTTCCACTCTATACAAGCAAATCAGTGAAACCAGTCTGCGGTGGTTTTGCACGGAGATATGTGCAGACATATTTCTTGATACGTTTATGTGACTTCCTGTGTACCCTGCAAGTTGCCTGTGAAGCTTAAGGTGACCACAAATCTTGAGGACACAGATTTAAGCAAATAATAAATACAGGTTTGTGCAAAATATTGAGCTAAAACACATTTCTGGGTTTTCGACGTTAAAAGAAGGGAATTAAAAACCTTCTGGTAAACAAAACTGGAACAATTGCATTTAAAGTTTGATATGTAGTGCAATACATTCACATGTGCAGAGTGTTTCCTGTGGTACCAGTTCTCACACATCACTAAATCTCAGTCTTTCCACCCACGTATTTGTGCTTAACAGCGGGCAAGTTGCTCTTCTTCCATTAAATGCTGCTTATTTTAGTTTCTTCCAGATAAACATTTGGTGGTTGCTGTCAAAAATCTCAGTTTGAATAGTCCAGCTTTTCAAATGACTGTCTTACCCAGATGTTGCTTTACTTGCTTACGAGACTGTCCGACTAAAGTTCACAAGTTTCCACTTTGAGAAGGTGGCACTGCACAGTAGAAGATTACTGCTGTGTTTGCTAAATCTACTTCTGAAAGTCATTGTCAGTAGAAAGGAGAAGTTCCTCTCAGGTCCTGAACTGCTTTGGCTTACGCCTATCAAATTAAGCGAGGCTTTCTAAGTCCTGAATATTCTGAATGATTGTGGTAAAATGTGAAAAAATAGAAAAAGTAATCACAATAACGCCTTAAGTTATGGTTATCAAACCTTTACAGGCAATCATAATGTGTTATCAGCAAATCACACACATCAGCACATCAGCAAACTCTGTTTACTTTTTTTACATTTAGCACACAGATTGTTGCTGATCTTGTTGTCTGTATCTAAAGAAAAGAAAGTAAATAATGAACTAGAGAACAATAGTTTTTAGTTGAGATGGTAGCTTACTGGTATGCAGCTGTAGTGGAATACAGTAAATAATGCACTTTGCTATGAATAGAAATGTTTGTGTTACTATTTGAAGAACCAGGAAGCATATGCTTTTTGTTAACAACAATCTCACATCAACATAAAAGGAAAAAAAAGCAAACTTTGTTTCTGCACTCCCTTCTACTTTTCCAAAAACATTGCAGGCACTTTTTACAGCATCCAAGTTGTGTTTGTTTGACCTGCTACATAGCCGCCCTGGGCTGGATGCAGCACAGGTGGCCCAGGAGATCAAAGCATCTGAAAAGGGGACCGAATGTCTGCTGGAAGCCTGTGTATCTCTGGGATTGTTGAAGAGTATAGAGAAAGGTTAGCCAGCTCTCTTATTTATTGCATCATGATATTTTTCCCTTGCCTTCACCAGCAGGCATTTAATACTTAATTTGGAAATATCTTGCTGTCACTCTGTTGTTAGCATGCCAAAAGCCAGTGTATGAGAACGCAGATCTGGCCACAGATTTTTTGAGGTCAGATGCCCCGTTTTCACTGCATGGCTACCTCCAGCACTGTAACGAAACCATGTGGCCACTTTTCTCCCACCTTGAGAGTGCTGTGCAGGAGGGCACCAGCCAGCGTGAGAAGGCCTTTAGCAAGCACATGCTTCAGGTGGCTATCTCTGATTTCTGTGTCATAAATCTGCGGTGCCGGTGAGAGCATATTCAAACTCACCTTCTCTCTTTAAAGAAAACTTCCTCCAGCAGTCGGGAAGGCAAACTGAGATTCATGAAGGCCATGCATAGCATTGCAAAAATTACAGGGAAAACCATAGCAACGGCATTTGACCTCTCCACCTATAAGTCAGCCTGTGATCTCGGAGGTAAGAAAAGAATGCAAAACGTTACAGCTTGTCACTGAATATGAAACCACTGCTCTACATCTTTTGTCTTAATTTGCTGTCTCAGGGTGCACCGGTGCCTTGGCTTATGAATTCGCCGAAGCTCATCCTGGATTGTCTGTAACAGTGTTTGACTTACCTGCTGTTGTCGAGTTGAATGAATTTTTCCATCCACAGCACCCAGACAACAGGGTATCATTTGTAGCAGGTCAGTTGTTTTGTGACACTGAAAATTGTGACTGAAAGATTGTTGGATCATATTAGAGAGAGTGACAAATATGCCAACAAATTCCACTCAATCTGTGATTAATTTGAGGGCTTTTTTTTACTCTCTTTATGATCAGGAGACTTTTTAAAAGACGAATTACCCAAAGCAGACTTGTATATCCTGGCGAGGATTCTTCATGACCTGCCTGATGAGAAAGTGCATATACTGCTGAGTAAAATCGCAGATGCATGCACAGCAGGTTTGTAAAGCTGTATTCACTCATTTGAGTACTTATCTTTACTGAACAGTGAATGTCAGCCAAACATCGCTTCAAACAGGAAGTGTATTGTTTATGCTGAGTATAATATTCTCATTCTTCACAAGCTCTTTTTCTGCAGATGCTTGAAACTGATTTGAGCGTTTGATTCTCATGCTGTGCTAAAACGATAGGTGCTGGTTAGTTTGGGTTTAACAATGTCTTTGTTTTGAACCGCTGTTGCAAAGAGCTCAATGTTGAAAAAGACGAAAGCTTAAAGCCAAGTCAGAGTGCTGCCTTGCTTATGCAATATTTGTTTTGTGGAAACATTATAATGTAAAGAGCGAAAAGGGAGTACAAATCTGTTCTCTGATGTTCTGTGTCTGCTTATGTTTCATGTTGCTAGGCTGTGGACTCCTGCTAAGCGAGATCTTCCTGGATGAAGACAGAAGGGGCCCCAGTCGTGGGCTGCTGCAGGCCCTTAGCATGAGCGAGGGGAAACAGAGGAGCGCAACTGAATATAGCCTGCTTTTGAAGAGCCACGGTTTCATCACAGCGCATATCAGACATACAGACAACCTCCTGGATGCCATGCTGTGCATCAAAGCTTAACACTACATGCACAGTATACATTGGTGTATGCTGTATGTAACCGTTGCCAAAATTAGGACTGTTTTTTTGTGGTTCTTTAAAACAGCTAGCTGATAACCAATAAAAGACGTCTTTGTTTTAAAGTGTTTCATGTGTGCTCTTTACACACTTATAATCCTGAATGTGTTTTAAATTCTCACCTGTAAGATCGCTGAATTGTTGAGCAAACAGGGAGGTCTGTGTGACCCTAAAGCTTTCATAACCATTAACATGCATTTAAACTTTGCAAACAAATTATTGTGGCTTTCAATCATTTTACCACAATACACGGGGGCTTTGTTCGTGTTTGTTTGCTTGAAGAAGCACTGGCATGTAGAAATGGTGATACCACATTAAAAAATATATATATCCGGTTCATGAAAATGTCAAGCTTTAAACATGGGTTTAAAAAAGTGCAAGTATTAAATTTTTTAAACCTGGTTAGAGTGGAGCTAATTCAGAGTATGTTGAATACAACAGGATTTGTTGTGTTATAAAATATATTTTATGCTATTGTGTGGAGTAGAGAAACCGTAGCTGCCAGTTTGAGCCTGCTACTTCTTTGGTATAATGCATTAGAGCCCTTATAAATTACTACTAAAATAAAGGTATCCTTTGCAAAGCCTTAAAAAATTAGTCTCTTTTTGGTGGCAGTTATTCTGTAAAATGCAGCACACCCCAATCACAAGGTTCAGCAAGCCAGCAGACATCAGATCTGACAGGCAGCACAAGTTAACCCTAATACAAGTCGTTTTTTGTGTTTGCCAGTTGCATCCATGCTTCAAGGCTTGGGCAGTCTTTTTTAACTGGCCTTCTGGTGGCGCACCCACTGGTTTGAAATGTTGGCAGGGAGTAGCCACTCAGGTCAAATGTCATTAGAAGCCTGCGCCAGTCTGCAGCTTATTTTCTTTATAATGAGGAAAATAGTCTGTAGCGCTGCCTACTTATGTGTTTTTTTTTGTTGCAGTGAAAGGAAAAAAATCAGCAGTACCTCATATCATCTTGCTTGGACTGAAATCCGTGTGAATGGTCTTCATTGTCTTGGAGTGTTCGGTGTGGAGCTGCCATACCAAAAAAACTTGGGGTGTTGTCAGCTGGATGATGGCTGCGGGTGGAGCGTGTGCATCTGACCTCTGAAGTGTCATGTCCTGATGATGTCTGGATAAAATGGTGGGAGATGATTAAAGAAGAAACGATAATGTCTAAGTGGGATGTAATTTTCGTAAACAGATGGATTTCCCCCAGCGGCCATGACTTAATGTTCGCATTCACTCAAAGACTGAAGACTGAAGACTGAAGCATCAGTTATGTTTTCTTTATTTATTTTTTAACGGTCCTGCTCGATGGATCCATTACACGACCCTCATTCTCTTACCCCGAAAAACTGCTACACCCCCCTGACTAAGTGGAATTCAAACTTCAATCTGTTCCTCTCTTTCCTAAAGCGCTTTTGCTTGGAATTTAAATCACGCTGATGAACAGACAAATACATCAAAGCTCTCACAAGTTAAACACAACATTTGGTGGTTTCGACTATAATTGCCCTCTAAAAAAATAATGACTACACTTTCATCCTCTGACATTAATCTCTAAATAGACTATCTTAAACGCTAAGTGACACTGGATATCGTGGAAACGTAACCCAAATATTTATCTTGCAGTTGAAATGAGCGCTGTGGTTTAGTTTCCTGCTGTAGCCATAAATCTCCTCAAGATGGCATCAAAAACCTGAAGAACCCTTCTAGAAATGTGGCCACACTCTCTCACACACACACTACAGATTTCCATGTTTGGTTGTTCTTTCCAGCAGCACATGCAGATGCAGGTTTATAGGCATCATTAAATGACAGCTAACTATGAGAATCACACCTGATTATGCTAAGTTTGGGAACTTGATTCGACTTTTATGCATCGTGTTGGCTGGTATAGAGTCTTAATCAAAAGAAGCTATAACACCAACCCTTAACTCCTTGCAGATTTACCTCTTGAATTTCAGTTTTTTGGCAGCGGTGAATATGTGGGAACATCTATGGCCATGAAAAATAGCTCTTATTCTTTGTGACACAGAAAGTGTCTCCGCATTACTCTTCATTTTGGAACCCACTCTAAGTATTTTCCTAGGAGGGTAATAAGGGTGGTCATGTTATTCATGGCTATTTTCTTGTCAGTCTGGGCTCAGGCTCTTTGTGACATCTAACTGATTTCTATTACTCAGATTTAGTTCTTTGGATGAGGAGAGACAGAGGGAGGGTGGACTCAAGTTCAAATATGACACGGAGTGTAAATCACATGAGGTTTTGTTGTGAATGCCCACCAAATGCACTATATACTTACAATACTTTTCTTCCATATTGATTATGAAAGCCTGTGTTGATTTAATAACTCCAGAACTTATATTGCTTTCCCGAGGAGATCTTTTGAAAGACAACTAAGTGAGACCAAATGGCTGCGTAGTAGGAGAATGTCAGGCTTGTGAAACACAGATGAGTTTCACAAATCAAAGCGTATAGTCTGCTAGCCTGTGTTGCCTTAAAACATGATGAAGCATTTCCATGAAAGCATTTGCATACCCGTTCGCTTCCAGTGTCCCAGCTGCACCCGCTCACCCTCAAATGCCTCAACTTTTGTGTACTGGTATCAACAGCTAAGACTCTGCTAGGCTTTCTAATGAAAACCATTCAAGTCAATCAAGTTTACCAGAGACCAAAGGCCAGTGTAATTTGGGAAAATTGCTGAAACTCCAAAGTAATCTTCTGTAATTCGATCTTGCCTATTGAACACTGGCTGTACTGTACGTGTCGGATAAGAGCTCAGTCATTTTCTTCAAATGCAGTCCTGACAAGCAGCATGGCTTTCCACCTGCAAGTAATCATCATTCTAGTGTTAAGTGCTTTGATATTAAAATGACTGATTTAAGACCATTTGCTGCTAGTAGATAGCAATTTCAAAACACTTCCATATGTTGATAGTGAGGATAAGCTGAGTTTGTGAACCGGCCGGGCTGCGTGTTGTGTTTACTGTAGTAGAACAGCCAGGAAAAACACACCGCAGCTAAGCCATAACTTTAGTTTTTCAGTCTTTCAGTTGAGAAGGCAGACTTTACATTTTACATGAATGATGCAATCAAAGCAGGTTAAAGAATAACACCAGGAAACTTTCATAAGATTTAGGATGTTCAACTTGTACGTCATGCAGTTTGTAACCACATGGGGGCAACGTTGGCTAAAGGAAACCTCCATGAAAGAGGGAGTTTTTTTTATCAAGTTCTACTGTTGTTGATGCTTTTATCAAAGTGATGGGAGAAGACAGTCATTCTGACTGCTTGGGTATTTGAAAATTGGCAAATATCTATGTCAAACCTTTGTGTTATCTTAGCTGAAAAATAAATAGCATCACTGTTTATACCGAAAGCCTTTCTGGAACTTCGAGGAGGATATGCAGAATCCGAACGGCTGCATGCAGAATAACAAACATCCTCTAATCAGTCAGTTTTCTGAATTGCCTCTCAAAACTGAACTCATGCTCGGGCACCTGTTTCAAAGAACAGGCTTGTTTATCAAAGTCCTCCTCTGTCAACAAACAGAATAAGTGCGATGATGGTTGGCTCCTCAACCCACATCTGATTTCAGCAAATGTGCAGTTGTTCAAAGTGAGTTGTGCTTCATTGATTTGTTTCAAGGCAGCGGAAAAATAACCTCAGGGCTTCTACCAGTTAGAAATAACAATGGAGTCCTTCATTGCTGTTTGTAGTTTTGTTGGCCTGACATCAGTGGTAGAACATGGAGGGATTTTCACTGTGAATTTAACGACTAGCAGGGACTCTGTAAAACACTACTTTGGGGTTTTTTATTGTATCAGATCAGTAGATTTTTACAGTCACTTTACTCCAGTGTTTCAGTGATTCTGCAGAGATTTTGGATTGATTCATGTCTAATTTTCTCTTTAGTGCTTTCATGACTTTTTTTTTTTTTTGCTTTTCTTAATTTGATAACTTTAATAATAGTTTAACTTTGGTATGTTTGCTAATTTAATTTTTTTTTCTTCCTGAGAGTTATAATGGAAAATCAATACCACTCTCATGCCTGCGCACTAAGTTGAAGGCAAGAAAGACTAGCTTAGCTTAGCACAAAGCCCGGAAGCAAGTTGAAATCTGTAGACTGTATAAAGAAGACAGAATCATTCCTTTGTGAAGTGTTATTTTTAAGCTAGCAAAGCATATACAAATTAAAGATGCATGTAGCCACCATCCCCCAGTAGTTAATGAAGTCTTGTTGTAAAGCCTTGAAAACAGTGTGTTGGCTATCACCATCTTGGTATTCTAAATCTATGTATAAGAAGTGGCATGCTCAAAGTGATTTGTTATATACATATATAGGCACAACCTAAAGCACACTTTTATAGCGATCATAATTTTAAAAAAAACATAATTTGAATATATACAAAAAAACAAAAACAACTAGTAACTGAGATAATACATTATTTAAGACATCTGCTCCTGCTGACTATTAAGTTATTGTCATGCTAGGAGTGGTTGGAGGATGTGGCATGACCGTGTGCAATGACCTTGCGATCTCATTACCTTTTAAAATAGTTGCTTCGACGGCAGGGACCAGTCTGCTCGTGATGATATAGTGATTAAACACCGTTAAACAATTTTTCATTTAATTAAACCTGATGAATACGATAAAACTGCAAATCTGTTCCATCTACACACATAGAAATTCTGTTTAACATTATATTCAAGCCAGAACCTCAAATTTGAAACAAAAATTCAGGAATTTGACGACACATAGTGACATATTTACAGACATTTCCAACTCTGCAACTTTGCTTTCAAATTAAAACTTTGTCAGAATACAACTGTTTGGCAACACAGTAAGTCGAGTTCATAGAAGTGTTGCACTCATAAGCTTATGGTGATTCAGACTCAACTCGCCTGGCATCTACCATTTTTTGTTGCCATTTTATTATTACCCTAGATTGACGGAGCAATTTTAAGAGTTGCAGGCTTAAGGTACTTCTCTATTACCTTCACGTTTACAGAGCAGGAAGCCATCTTTACTATACAGTCTATGGGGAGGGACTCACTTTTCAGATAAGCCTT